CAATATTTTGAGCATGTATCTCCCTATTCATTGGGTGTACAAGGTTTCCTTTGTGTATAATTACAAAATGTCTATAATTTTTACTGGATATTTCTTTTGATGAGGCTTCCTTGATCCGAGATCACGATTATAATAAAAGAATTGTAAAATCAAAACAAAAGGTAAATAATCTTAGATACAAAATAATCTGAGAATGAAATGTATAATATCCAGAAAAATTATGTTTATTTAAATTTTCTTGTTCCCTATTTCATAGACATTTTTGAATAAAGAGATTTGTTTTCATATTTCTTTAAAATAATAAATATTGCATTGTAGTTGGTTCACATATTTTTTCTAATCTTGTAAATATAAAATTAATCTTGTAAATATAAAATTAATCTTGTAAATAATAATCTAACAATTAAAGAGTGTTAACATTTCTGTTATTATTACAATTCTAAACATTCCTTTTAAAAACAACAAACATTGTTAAACTGAGGGAGTCAAGGGAGTATACAGCAATAACGGTGTCAAGAGAAAAACTGACCTTTTCAATTCTTTGTGGATCTGATGGTTAAACTTTTCTAATGATTCTTTTATAAGTAAAAACCGTGATTGATTTCATTAACATTTTTATATTTATGTAGACTGAATAGTCAGTGTTGAGTATGGCTGATGTGCGCTGGTGTTAAGTCGTACCAATGCTTTGGAACAGTGTCGTCTGTTGCTAGTAATGAGGTTGACTACACAGTGGCGCGCTTTCCACCTTGCTCTCTTTTCTTCAGCTATCTGGATCCTCTCTTTCCAAAACTCAACACAAGATGTTTCCAGGCCCACACTGCGCCATCAGTTGCGGTCAGCTGTCGCATGTTACCAGTCATATGTATTAACCTCCACAACTTTCATATAGTGCTTGCAGGCATCTTTGTAGCGCAGCTGGAGGTGCCAGAGTCTTGTTTGTCGTACAAAATGGAACACAGCCACCTTCCATCCAGCACATATGGCCAGCCACGGCCAACAGATCACTTATCAGAATCTTGTTCCCTATACAGAATGTCTTTTGGGATATGGCCAACTTTCATCTGGTGCACATGGTCAAGCCAGCGTTGTCTGAGTAGTGTGTACATGATGGGAAAACCAGCATGTGCGAAGGCCCGGACATTGGATACTTTCCCGCCGCACCTGATGCAGAGGATGCAGCGAAGGCAACGCATCTGGAAACTGTTCAGTTTTTCTCTTCTACGTTGATCATGTTTCACTGCCATATAGCAGAGTACTGATTATTCAGGCGTTGTAAACTGCTATCTTCGTAGGAGTTGTCAACTTTGGGTTCTCCCTGACACGAGTGGTAAGTCGACCTAGGGTTGTTTCAAAAATGAACTAGGGGTCTCTGAACTGGTGGACGATATCAAGTTCCTAGTTATCGAATGGTGATAACAAGTAGAATGTCTACATCTTGACATATTAGCCTTTTCCAGGCTGGTGGTCAGACCTAAGAATTTGCAGGCTTACGAAAATCTGTCGGTGGGGCCCTAGAGTTTTGGGGTTTAGCGTGTGTAATGTCAGCAGGATCATCAACAAAGAGCAGATCTCTGATAATGACCTCGTGTACCTTGGTCCTTACTTTCCAGCTGCTGAATAATATATCCTGAAGGTTGTGGTGATATACAAAGTTTTCAGTGTGCTTAGACCACCATTTTGGTAGGTTCGAAATAGGTGGCTATTCGTTAGTATCCAGAAAAGTCGACTAAAAATAAGAATTGGTACAGATGTCATAGAGAGCTGGCAACAGGACATGAAAAATATTTCAAAAATCAACTTAAAGCATTTTTTTAAAATTATGATCCTCCTAAGTGTTATAAAAAGAAAACAATTACAGTAAAAAGAACCTACCCGGAATTGTCCCAGAAATTCCAGCCTGAAAAGACTAACTCGTCACGAATCGAGAATTAAATATTATCTATACATAATGACTCATACCTTTATCCCCTTTATGATAAGCCAGGTGCAAATAATCAAATGAATCATAATTGAGAGAAAGAGTGGCCAAGAATAGTCTGTGAGTTAAAATATTCAGATCTTTGTGTGAACCTTTTTATCTACTTTTCAAATAAATTCTCTCCACGAAATATTTTTACAAACTTTACAGTAAAGACGAAAAGTGGAAAAGCTATAAACGATGTGTTTTGCCGAAAGTGTCTGCTCTCTCGGGCTTCTTTAGTTCAGAATGAAAAAAAGACAAAACTGTATGTAAAGAAAGTGCTTTGTGATTTCTGTCGATAAATTGGGACCATAAATTAGCCTCACATATCGTCAGAGAAGCCAAAATATTTTCCTTACATACACTTTTATCTTTCTTTCATTCTAACCTGAAGAAGCCAGAGATAGTAGAAACTTTTCCATTTTGTCTCATTTTCTTAACTTTTGTTTGGATAATATTATACATCCTATAAACACACAAATTTTACAGTACAACCTATTTAGTCCAAATAAAAACATTTTGTTTTTCAAAATGTATACAGATTAATACGTACTTAAAATTCAAAACCTATTTAAAATTAATACGTACTTAAAATTCAAAAATCATTTAAAATTAATACCTACTTAAAACTCAGAAATCATTTAAAATTAATTCCTACTTAAAATTCAAAACCTATTTAGAATTAATACAGATGTAAAATTCAAAATCTATTTAAAATTAATACCTACTTGAAATTCAGAACCTTGCATTGTGTAAATTAATTTCTCTGTTGAATATTATAACTCTTAGTTCAAAGTTTATTTCATAAATTCAATGCCATCCTGGGTATGATGATAAACTACATCCAGCGGCAAGTTCTCTGATCAGGAGATTGGAAGTTTTGAGGAACGTAGAACCACCTCTTAACTGCTATTGTTTCAAGGTTCACCCTGACTCGGGGTGGTAGTACCTGTTAGGGTCCCAGCTAAGGGCACATTTTGAACCCACGAACAAAAATCAACAGTACATTTTTATAATAAAATTAACAACAATACATTTTTATAGTAACATGACCAAAACAAATTCATAGCAAAATAGCAATCAATAAAAGACTAAAAAAAGTATAAAAATGCAATTTTATAGTAAAATTACCAACAATACACTTAAAAAAGAAATTACTAAAAACATTTTTCTTATGAAATTACCAACAATAGATTTTATAAAAGAAATGTGCTAACAATATATTTTATCATCTGTAAACAAGATATCTAAAAAAAACATACCATTATCCTGAAAGTATAAAATTATAAAATATTTAGATTCCTGCATGAAATAACCCGTAGAGGCTGATATGCCTAAATTTTAACCAACCTAAATTCAACAATGAAAACCTAACAAAATTCCATTCAGGTATTTAAGAACATATCCGGAGATTTTATGGTAATGTTTTAGTTTTGTAGCCATTTGTGGTATTGGGCAAAACTATCTCAAATGCAGTCTATTTCAGGGGTCGGCAACCTTTTGCTATGTGCCGATTAGGGTTTTAAAATCATTCAGTGTGCCAACGGCATACATATTTTTATACAAGTCAAGGTCAATATACCTGTTCTACAATATATATTTTAGTATATATTAAAATTGAAACAACTAAATATCTTCTTTGCATTGTAGTAGTCATTGGTTTGGACTTTGGCTATTTTTGGTTGAAATTAATAAAATCTTTCTCTTGAATGAATTTTTCAAGAAAATAAGTTCCTCAACTCGATTGTTATCATTCTTTCCATTGATGAGTGTTTCCTTCCTAACCTTTTGTATGAAGTGATGTGGAATGTCAACATCTTGATTATGTCATTATTTTCTCTTCAAGTTACATGTGCTCTCCATTTTAGTTGTTGCTGCTGTTTATAGTCCTCAACTGACGTGGTTTCTGATATTTGGTACAGTTCTTTGTGATTATTTAGCGTCAGTCCACGGCGTTCAAAAAAAATGATTCTCACCAAGAGCTACGGGGATTCATTTGATCGAAACGATTTTGAAAAATTGATCTTAGAAGGTGGTTGTACACAGATGACAATTTAGATATTTCTGAACAACTTTGGCGCCATGTATGACATTCAGATAAAAGTCTCAATCAGACAAGGCTATTTAAGAATATGATCTAAGTCTTTAAGTTACTTCTCTGGTTTTCTAGCAATCTATGTTGTTGGAAGAAACTACTCCAAGCACAAACTAATTCTATATTCAATTTCCTAATATCCTATACTAAATTCCTTATAACACCAAAGTATTTGAATTGTTTAGTATTTACTAATTCCACATCCTGAATTTTTAGATTAGATTCAGGGTTGGTACCATCATTGCTTTTATTCCAATTCCAGATCATAGTCTCTGTTTTGGAAAAGTTTATTTTGATCCCTATCTTTTGGAACACTTCATAGACGATGTTGATTTTTTGTTCAGTATCATTCTTATACCAAATATGAATACCTATGTCACCAACATAAGTTAATAAATATTAAAACAGCTAGGAAATATTAACAAAATAAAGCACAATTGTACTTTTTAATCAAAATACCATAACAGACAAAAATATTTTTGAGGATTTTCTCTTCATTTTAAATTTGTAAATTAAGTAAATGACTGGTTTCTGAATATGACTAGCCAATGGCTAGCCAACCCCCGTTGTAGCCACCCTAATCATTCTTGGACTTATTTGTTTCTTCAACACCCACAGAACCAAGCAATGGTATTTAGTATAACTATACTGAGAGCAGGCCTAAACTATATTTTCTAATGTGATCAGCAGTTTTGAATAAAAACGCTCGGTCATGATGACTTGTGACCAAAGATTTTTTTTTTTAGTACAACCACAAACATATTCCAAATAGTATCATCTACTCAACTGAACCCAATTGAACCCAATTTAATCCATAGGCTGATTTTTATTAAGAAGTAACCTCTCTGAAAAATCGATTATGGTGAGACTCGAACTAACTTTATAACTATTTAGCCATTAAAAATGGCTTACTTCTATTTAAAACTTTATTGACAAACTTACCTTTAAGTTCCATTTTTTACTTTTCATGAGATAGGCAAGTAAAATCGTTACACTTCGACTGATTCCCAATTCCGAAAAGATTAGAACAGTTCTGGACTTAACTGGAAAACAAATTGACACCATTAATAATTAAACCAAGGATATAAAAGAAAAGGTAAAAAATAATGAAAACGTCATTATTTTACGACAATATACACTTGTATGAGTTGGAGTTGGGCCTTTTTTTGTAGCTGATATAATAGCACCTTTACAAACAGCACCAGTGTCCGACAAATTCAGTATAAAAGCCTGAAAATTAAAAGGTGATATTTAAGACATACAGACCCTTCCCCCATTTTGAAAATTGACACAATACAGTTTTCCCTGGTTATATTTGAACATGTCTTGTGATACAAAAAGTTTTCTGTTGTCTGGTAAGTTTATGTTGCTTTTGTGTAGGGAATCAAACTTTTGTGTTTTTGAACCAAACTAAACAAGCAGATCTCATTCTCATTTCATTATATATATATATATATATATATATATATATATATATATATATATATGAAGAAATATAGTCTTAAGGTTGTAGAGGTGGAATCGAACCTAAGACGCCCAGTTACAAGACCGGAATGGTCTTGGCGTCACACCCCCATAGAAGTAGACTCGCCCGCTTACACGAGAGGCGAGAGTGGGCTACTTAAACAAGACATTTACGGCAACGAGGATCAAGGCAGATACACGTCGTCTCGCTGCTACCTTACATGGCGTCGCCGATATAGGAAACCTGCTACAAACAACGTTGGAATATGGACGAACAAACACAGCAGACATTACTTCGACAGCTCATCGAGCTACAGCAAGAGATCATCGCCCTGCGAAGAGACGGAGGACAGCCGAGAAAGTCACTTACAAGGAGACCCGACAGACCTAATATAGAACCGGACTCAAGTGATGGTGACTGGGCGATATTCATTGATTCCTGGAATAGATACAAGGAGATGTGTGGGTTGACGGAGCCAACAGCGTTAAGAAACGAGCTGAGAACGGCCTGTGCCCCAGAAGTGAACAGGCTGTTGTTCGATATGGTAGGAGCAGAAGTACTAAACTCCGTCACGGAGGAAGAGCTGTTACGACACATAAAGCTCGTAGCCGTCAGAAGCCTACACAAAGAAGTGTACCGGCAAGAATTCCACTCCGTAAAGGCAGAAAGAGGGGGAATCGATTACGGACTTCGTGGCACGACTTCGATCAGTCGCAAAAAATTCTGCGACTTTTCAGTGACTTGTCCGAACGGGATAGGATGCGGTCGGAAAGTCAGCTACTCCAACGATATGGTAGCAGGACAAATGGTGGCTGGGCTGGCAAACCTGGAGCATCAAAGCAAGGTGTTGTCTGAGGCTGCGACACTTACGACACTGGAAGAAAAATTCAACAGGCTTGTCAGCCTAGAGACCACGGACAAGTCTACACCCCATCTCCATAGTAATGTATACCCTACTACAACGAGCACACAGAGATCGGGCCGCAGGCAGCGGCCTCGGGAGAACCAGACCGTATCAACCCCTGAGAGACACTGAACCCTGTAAATGGTGTGGGAAGAGCTCACACCCTGACGGCTCGAATGAACGAAGGGGTTGCCCAGCAGCAAAGATGACTTGTCACAATTGAGGCTTAACCGGACATTTAAAAGGGGTTTGCAGGAAACCGAAGCAGGGGTCCAGCAACAAATCTACAGCGGGTGTGGTCGGAGCAGAATCCAGAACTCTCACCACCCAAAGACACAAGAAGGGTCGTAACCGGATGATCGTCCAAGATGGACAAGTGAAAAGGAGAGGTGAAATCAACCTGACAAAACCAAAGGCCGTGCCGCACCTGATTTGGAACAAAAGTAAGTTCCGAAGAGGTACTCCTGATCCAGCACCAACCCTGATGGTAGAGATAACTCTGATTCCAGAGGTCCATGCGGAATTCGGGCACATATCCATAGGACAAGCTGGCCTCCATACTCACCGGATCGAGGCGATCGCAGACACTGGGGCACAGACATGCTCTAGCGGACCAGAAACCAAAAATTCTGAAGTGTCCAGACAAATGTCTAGTACCGACTAGTCACCGAATTCGGGGAATCACGGATAACCTACTAAACATAAAAGGCGTGATATTCGCTAAAGTCAGAGTAGGATCGCGGGAAACACGTCAGATTATATATGTATCAAAAAATACATCAGATTTCTGCCTGTCCGAGTCGGCCCTAAAAGACCTTGGTCTGGTGCCAGATAACTTTCCAGACCCAACTTCCCAGCAGAACGTGGCAACTAGCGACGGCGGAAAGGCACCATGTGGGTGCCCACAAAAGAACTAATGTCCCACCTAAGCCGGACAGTATCCCTTTCGCTCCTATGGAAGAAAACAGACCCCGATTGGAACGATGGATGAAGGAGCATTTTGAGTCCAGTGCATTCAATGTATGCCCACATCAACGGCTGCAGGCGATGGAAGGAAAACCCATGGACATCACGTTCATCCGGGGGCCAAACCCTCAGCTGTCCACACCCCAATCCCGGTCCCACACCATTGGAAGAAAAGAGTCAAGGAGGATCTCGACCGAGACGTGGCATTGGGCATCATAGAACCTGTACCAGTGGGTACACCTACAACATGGTGCTCTAGAATGGTGGTTGCACCGAAAAGGACGGGTCACCGAGGCGTACGGTGGACCTACAGAAGCTCAACACCGCTACCCTACGAGAAACCCATCATACACCGTCTCCTTTCAATCAGGCATCGCTGGTGCCTGCGAAAACTAGAAAAACCGTTTTGGATGCATGGAATGGCTATCATAGCCTAACCCTCTCTCCATCGGCAAGAGATGCAACTACCTTCATCACGGAATGGGGTAGATACTGTTATCTTCGGGCACCACAAAAGGATTCCAAGCGTCAGGAGACGCATATACACGCAGGTTCGACAATATTACTGTAGATATGACCAGGAAAACAAGATGTATTGACGATACGATACTATGGGACAACTCTATTGAATCATCATTTTGGCATACTATAGAGTACATAAATAACTGCAGCAAAAATGGTATCGTATTCAACCCCAGAAATTTCACTTCGCGGAAAAAAGAGGTGGAATTTGCCGGGTTCTTGATAACAGAAGACGGGATAAAACCCACCAGAAAAATGACTGAAACAATACGGAATTTCCCGACACCAAAAAAATATAACTGACATAAGATCCTGGTTTGGAATGGTAAACCAGGTAGCCTACGCTTTTTTTCTCAGGCCGAGGTAATGGCCCCGTTCCGGGAGCTGCTAAAGACAAAAAATCGGAAGTTCTACTGGGACAGCACACTCGATCGAATCTTCGAAGAGTCGAAAAGAAGGATCACAGAAGAAATCGAGAACGGTGTAAGAACCTTCGAAGTGAATAGGCCAACTTGTTTGTCGACGGACTTCAGCAAAACAGGCTTAGGATATTTTCTTTTCCAGAAGCACTGCAACTGTGCCACCGAAGCTGGACCGAAGTGTGGTGAGGACCACTGGAAGTTAATCCTGGCCGGCTCCCGATTCACTAATGACGCAGAGTCCCGATATGCACCAGTGGAAGGAGAAGCATTGGCATTAGTCTACGGACTGGAAGCATGCCGGATGTTCGTTTTGGGGTGCCCAGAGCTGTTAGTCACCGTGGACCATAAGCCCCTGGTGAAGATCTTCTCGGACAAAGCTCTGGAGGACATAAAGAACCCAAGACTGTTTAACTTCAAAGAACGGTCCTTGATGTACAAATTTCGAATAAAGCATCTCCCTGGCAAAACTCAATGCGGCACCAGACTGTACATTGAGATGCCCAGTGGCGTTAAGCCAGGAGGAAGCAAACGAAAAGGACATCGCACAAACTATGGATAGCGCCATAAGAGCGTCATTTAACTCCACCTGTGAGCAGGACCCTAAATTAAGAGCAATAACATGGGACAGGATTGTGGCTGCAGCTGCTACTGACGAGGAATGCCGTTCCCTCGCCGAATTCATACAAAATGGCTTCCCTAGATCTCGGCACGAACTGCCGGAGACAATTCGCCGGTTTTGGCATATGAAAGAGGAGTTATATTGCTTGGAAGGGGTGACGATAATGGAAAATAAAATCCTCATACCCAGAAAGCTACGTGCGGAGGTACTGGAATCGCTCCATTCAGCGCATCAGGGCGTCAATGGAATGTTGGCAAACGCTAGACAGCGGCTGTTTTGGCCAGGACTGGACGCGAGCATTCGTCAAACCCGGGCCCAGTGCAAAGTATGCAACGTAATAGCTCCATCACAACCCAAGGAACCCCTGATGCCGCCCTCGAACCCCGAGTTCCCATTTCAGAAGACTGTGACGGACTTCTTCGATTTACGAGGGAAGAACTATCTAGTATATGCAGATAGATACACCGGATGGGTAGAAGTCACTCTGATGTCGTCCGGGAATGCCAAGGCCACATGTGACGCCCTACGAAACTGGTTCTGCACGTATGGCGTACCGGAGGAACTTTCAACCGATGGCGGACCACCGTTTGACTCCAGTGAATTTAACCGGTTCCTAGATAATTGGGGCATAAGGAAACGAACATCATCGGCATATTACCCTCAAAGCAACGGGAGAGCAGAACTGGCAGTTAAAACGGCTAAAAGGATACTTGTTGATAGCACGGACAGTTGCGGTCGCCTATGCCATGACCAGGCAGCTAGGTCCCTACTGACTCATCGCAACACCCCGGTACGAGACCTACATATGTCTCCAGCGATGATGCTCTACGGTCGTGTGATAAAGGACCATCTCCCAGCGCTCCAGGACCGATATCGAATCCACAAACGCTGGAGAGAAATCAGTCATTATAGGGAAACAGCGATGGCAAAAAGACACTTAAGGAATGAAAGAGGATACAATCTAAAAAGTCACCCACTTCAGGAACTGAAAATCGGGGAAACGGTGCAGATACAGAACCAAGTTGGTCCATACCCGCGCCGATGGGCAAAGACAGGAAGGGTGGTGGAAACACTGGGTAACCGGCAGTATAATGTACGCATGGATGGGAGTAACCGGGTAACCCGTCGCAATCGCAGATTCCTCC